TTTTTTTTCCTGATGAAAAATCATCTGGCACCTTTTGGACCAGGCCACTACCAAAACACAGAAAATGCCAAATGACAAAAGTAAATAAACCAAAAAAATGAGAAAATAAATGTCCAATTCCACATATATATTTCTGTAAAAAGATTAAATACAAAAAAAATAAAAAAACAAGGTTTTATTGTTTCAAATAAAAAAAATAGGGGGAAACCTAAAATATGAAATGGGTAAATAAAAAGCTAAATAAAAAACACAAAAAATACCAAAAAGAACAGAATGGTAATGGAAAGTCTTGGTTCTTGATTATAACCAGAGAAAAATTTCCATTTGATTAAAAAAAAAAGAGCAGACCATGTCAAACTGGACCCCCCCCTTTTTTTCCTGTTTTTCTATTTCCACAACCATGTTTTAATGAATGTCAGCAAACGCTTGGACCAAATATGGCTACAAAAATAAGAAAATAGTCCAAATGACATAAAGTACCACCTCATCTCAAAAAAAACAATGCCCTATGTTGAACAATAAATATGTCCAAGATGAGGACATTCCATAATATATTTCTGTATTTATCTCAGAAATAAATCAAAGGCTTAAAACGCAGGATAAAAATGGCAATCAAGATGAGGACAATAGTCCAAATAAGGTTTTTATTGTTTCATGCAAAATAAACAGATAGAAAGGGAACCTTGTAATAAATATGGCAATGATGAGGAAATATCCAATAATGTAAATAAACACAAACCCTCATCTCCAAAATACAGATACTAAGTTGAAACGTTGTAATAAATATGGAAAAAGATGAAACAATAGTCCGAATAATGTTTGTTCATAACCATCTCAAAATATAACTTATATGAAAGGCTGATTTGTAAAAATGGCAGCAGACCAATAGTCAAACTGGAAATAGTTTAATTTCTCAAAATATAGACAGATACTGAAAGAATGTTCTATTTCAACAAAGATGCCATGTTTTAAATATGAATGTCCTCATCTCAGAAAAGGCTGAAACGTTGTAATAAAATATGGCAACAAAGATGAGAACAATAGTCCGAATAATGTAAATAGTGTATATAATACCTCATCTCAGAAATATAGACAGATACTGAAAGGCTGAAACGTTGTAATAAATATGGCAACAAAGATGAGGACAATACTCCAAATAATGTAAATAGTGTACATAATACCTCATCTCAGAAATATAGACAGATACTGAAAGGCCGAAACGTTGTAATAAATATGGCAACAAAGATCAGCACAATATCCGAATAGTGTAAATAGTGTACATAATACCTCATCTCAGAAATATAGACAGATACTGAAAGGCCGAAACGTTGTAATAAATATGGCAACAAAGATGAGGACAATAGTCCGAATAATGTAAATAGTGTACATAATACCTCATCTCAGAAATATAGACAGATACTGAAAGGCCGAAACGTTGTAATAAATATGGCAACAAAGAGAAGGACAATAGTTCGAATAATGTAAATAGTGTACATAATACCTCATCTCAGAAATATAGACAGATACTGAAAGGCTGAAACGTTGTAATAAATATGGCAACAAAGATGAGGACAATAGTCCGAATAATGTAAATAGTGTACATAATACCTCATCTCAGAAATATATCCATGAAAGTTGCTGGGTCATGGAGTGTCGAATAAAAGTGGCCGGAGTAAATCTCAAAAATGAATCTTACAGGCTGATAGTTTAGTTTTATATATATTTTTTAAATTTTGACGTTATCAAAATTTATATTGTTAAATCCAGGAAAATACAAAGTTCTATTCAGTATAAATAGATTTAGTTTTAAAGTAAAAATAACTTAGATTAAAAAATAAAAATAAACAAAGATTTCTTATGCGTTTACAATATTTTCAGTTCAAAATTGTCTGTCAGTTACCTGGCTCAACATGCACCTGATGAAGGCTAAAGAGCATAATGGCTAAAGCATTGTGATAGCAGCAACAAGTGATCAAGTCATTCATTTTTTACAGCTTATCAACCCTTTGCAGGTTATTTAAAGCCATAAAATAAGTGAATATAATAAACTCAACTGAAATTAGAACTTAACTCTCCAATTAACAATTCTGAGTTTTTATCTATTACATCACCCACACATCCAAGCTTATATCACCTGGTATTTCCAAGCAGTCACCTACCTAGATGCTTACCAGACTTGTCATTTCATAAATTTGTTGATCTTACTGAAGCTGGTGTTTCAACATGATATGGTTGTAAGCCACTGTATACATGAGAAAACTTATTAGAGAAAAATATCCCCTCCAGCAGGATTTGAACCTACATCCCTATTTACCAGAGAAACCACCATTTGATCTGATGTGCTTTAACTGCTCAGCTATAAAGAGCTTCACAATTGAACAGGGTTCTATTTGCATTTAAAGCACATTCACTTGTTCAGATTTTCTCAAAAGGCATATCTGCTAATATTTTCTTGAGCATACAAGCCAGTAGATGCAATAACAGTTTAAAATAAAATGGAGCGTCTACTCAAATAAGAATATCCACTAAAAATAATATTTAAAGTAATAAAATATGTCGGATTAAAAAAATAAAGTCCAGTAATTCTTCAGTAATTGGTTTGTTCTTATATATAACCAAACAAAAACAAATGGGATTAAATAAAATAGCTTTCAACCAGGAAATTGATGTATTAAATACTTGCAAGGATTAAGAAGGATTAATGATTAGCGATTAATATTGGTGTATTAAAAATTTGCAAAGATTAAGAAGGACGAAAGCTCAATTTATAAAACATTGTAAATTAACACTATTTACATTATTCAGACTATTGTCCTCATCTCTGTCGCCATATTTATTACAACGTTTCGGCCGTGGTACGCTCCGGCCTTCTTCAGGTGGTTGGAATGTCAGACTGAACCCTTTATTTCACTCATTGGGGTAGACTGTTCTATTTCCACATGTCATGTTTTAATAGATGTCAGCTGAAACGTTGTAATAAATATGGTGACAAAGATGAGGACAATAGTCCGAATAATGTAAATAATGTACATAATACCTCATCTCAGAAATATAGACAGATATTGTAAATTAACTTATTTTTTATTGATTTTTTTAACAGTGTCATATCATGGACAAGAGAAAAAAAAAAACAATTAAAGAATGAAGTGAAGAAGCCTTGAGAGAAGAACAAGCAGAGTATTTTAATCGAGTTTATTTTATCTGAAATTCCAAAATCCCAAAACCTGAAAGTTTTTCAGATGCTGACAGGATTTGCCACAAATAGAAAATTTAAAAAATCCCAGCTACATAGCTTACATTCACACAGGTTTTTTGTTAGTGATCATCACAGCAATACCTTTGTTCGTGGATTACTTACCAAGTGTTTCATGCTCAAATATCATTCAAAATGTCAAAAAGTCCTGCATTTATATAGCAGGTGTAAAAGCAAAATTGTCCATTTGTTAGATTAAGCTTTGAATCAATGCATCATAGAAATGATTAAAGATATCTTATTGGAATACTTTGAGGTTTTTATAACACTATTGGACTCTACTTTGAGCAATAAGAATGTATAATTATTCTCCAAGCGTAACAAAAGAATCGTGATGAAATTGATCAACAAAAATGACATGTTCATCATTAATTAATCAAAGCTAAGGATTGTAAATTCATGAAGGATTGAAATTAACTCAAATATATATATTATTCCAAGATCATTTTTCAAATTGTTCAAAATGATCTAACTTTCTGTCCTCACACATTTCACGTACGATTTTTAAGTCTTTTTTTCACTGCTCTTTCGATTGTCATAGCTGAAACTCCTCTCTCACGTGCAAACATCTTCTGGATTGAGTTGGATCTTTTCTAATTGATCTCTTTGGTACTAAATTGAAATGATGATCCCTCTTCCTGTTGTGACCTCCTGATCCAATTTTCCTCTGTACTATTCCATCGTTTTTAAACTTTTTCACCATTCTCTTGATGGTTCTTGAATGAACTTTGAAGATGGGAAGTCAGAGTATGTTTATATGATTACTGAAGGCCTGAATGATCTTTTTCCTCTCACCATTGCTCAGTTGCGAAGACAGTAGGTCTGACACAACAAGATTTCAACCTGTTCTCTTTTTAACTGATTAATCCAAAGGGTTTTTTTTGTGTGTGATTCTTACAAGAATTGGTGTCAAGATAGCTAAACATATTATCAGAAAACCTGGAAAAAAAGAAACCCAATTAATTTAGTGGTTTTTAAGATATTAAATATTTTATGGGATGGACAATTATAATGTTTCACAACTTGGACAATTTTGCTGTTACATCCATTATATTTATCAATAGTCATCAGGTTTCTTTCTTTTTTTTTTTACATGTACAGAAAGTACAAAATATTATTCTTATGTGAAATCTTAATTTCACCACTTAAAAATCCGTGTGAGCATTATATGACTAGCATCAGTACCTGTATACAAAATCTATTAAATTTTATATAAAACTACTTTCACGGTATATGTTATTTATATAAAACTACCTTAAGGGTATCTATATAAGCTGTACTATGAAATGTAAAGGGATATCCTGTTTATGCTTGGGTTCCATTCCTAAGTTGATCCATTTTATAGATGCTATATACAAATTAGGATGCCTGTATTCCAAAATCAAAAAAAAAATCTGAAAACCAAAGCACTTCCAGCCCCAAGAGTTTTGGATAAAGGATTCTCAACCTGTAATAACAACAAAGATGAGGAGAATAGTACAGTATTTACATTAGTCAGACCATTGTCCTCATCTTTGGATGTCAGTTATCAGTTATCTCCTGCTAATTTTCCATCTGAAAGTGACACATGGCACAGTGGATAAAGGCGTTGGTTAGATCCAATGACAGACCCCAAAAATGTGAGTTTAATACCCGGTTAAGGCAGTGGAGAACTTTCAAAGGGAAAATTAGCAGGAGACAACTGATAACTGACATCCATCAAACATGGCATGTGGAACTAGAACAGTCTACCCCAGTGATCGAAATAAAGGGTTCAGTTCGAAATTCCAACCGCCTGAAGAAGGCCAGAGCGTACAACGGCCGAAACGTTATGACAAATATGGCGACAAAGATGACGACAATAGTCCGACTAATGTAAATACTGTACATAATACCTCATCTCAGAGATATAGACAGACTCTGGAGAATAGTACATGTGTAAATAATAACGCATCATTCCAAAAATTCAGACAGTAATGTTATTTTTATTACTATAAACATTATTTTTAGTGGATATCCAATACTTGAGTAGTGTTAAATAATAGTTTCAGACTATAATTTTTTAGTGACAGTGTATTTGGCTCAGACCTTCTGAGGCTGACCTTTAAGGTCACATGGTAAACAAAATAGAGATCTCTATTTTGATCGGCCAAGCTGAATGTGGGAATGTTAGATTTAGAAAGTGTTTTTGAGAAGTTACATTTTACATGTCGAAGAAATCAGAGGGGTTATTTCGTGTCTTGGGGAACTTGCTCCCCAGTGGGGGTCATATAGCGACCCCACTGACTAGTTAGAAAGATTCACGTCCACATGTTTAATAAAATAGATAAGTTTAAAAATCACTTTTGTTGAAGTTCTCATTTTACCTCTGAACAAACCAACTATTAATCACCTGGCGGAAGATGACAGAAAAAAGAAAGCAACATATGACTGAATCAAGACTATTGCCAGCATGAAAGGGTGTATATAAATGTAGATACTCCGTTTATTTCTTAAACAGTATTTTATTTCCTCTACCAGCCTGAACATTTGAAAAATCTTATTAGAGAAAAAAAGCGTCCTCTGTCTAGATTCAAACCTGCGTCTTCCTTTGTGGAGAAACCATCATTAGTTCCAACATACTTTAATTATCTTGGCTACAGAAAGGGTGTTGCTATTTAGTGAGGTTTTATTTTGCATTTCAAGCACACTTTTCCTCATCCAGATGTTTGAAGATTCATAACTGCTCAGTTTCATAGCCAAAATGTAAATAAAGCAATTTCTAAAGAGGTAATAGATATTTTATTTATTAACCCAACATATTTTTATCACTTTAAACATTATTTTTAGCAGATATCCATTGAGTAGATGGTTCGTTTATTTTTTGAAACATTTGCTTTTTTTCCACTAACATTTCTCAAATGTTCAGGCCGATAGACAAAGCAAAATGCTGTTAAAAAAAATAAATCGGGTGCCTACTCAAGTATGGATATCTTTCAGTGCACCCACATTGCTACCAAATGTGATGAGAGGGATCTATGACCCGAGGCTCCACTGTCTGTGTGTGTATATATATATATATATTTTCACACACACACACACACACAATTACAATGAATCATTCAAAGAGTAACTTAGTAAAGTTAACGATATAAAATGGCGAATAATAACTTTACTAATTTACTTTTTGTATGAATGATTCATTGTAATATAAATTAAACTGCACCACATATTTGAGATTATATATATATATATATATATATATATATATATATATATATATACACACACAAAATGTGATGAGAAGGGTTTGTGTTTGTGTATACACACAACACACCTACAAATGTGATGAGAGGGATTTATGACCCAAGGCTCTACTATATATATATATATATATATACACACACATACACACAATGAGGTTGAATAAGTGCTCGTACAGCAAACAAATGCTTGTTATTCTCACTTATAGCAAATGAAAATGTTATATATGTATTTTGGGGCATAGAATCAGAATCTGTAATTTAAAATTAGAATAAGTGATAGTTATGCAAATTTTTATATTTCGAATAGTAGAAAAAAGTGTTCGTACAGTATCAATTTTTGCATTATAATACAGTAGATTTTGGTTGTACTTCAAAGCAGAAGATTCTAAACTGTTCTAGAATATTCTCAGTAACTCTGTTGCAACATTCAGTTCAAAAGTGGATCATTCTGCAGTCACTGTTCACTGATAACAGTTCTAATGGCTAGACGTAAGGAAATGACTTGTGCTCAAAAAGAGCTAATTATTAAGCTATGGAACAATGGAAAAAGTTACAGAAACATCTCCAGTGACACGAACATACCTTTTTCAACAATTGGTTCATTTCTTACAAGATTTAAAAGATGTAATACTGTTGAGAACAAAGGCAGACCTGGTACTCCCAGGAAGATCTCTCCCAGATTACGAAGAAAGTTGATGCGAGTTTGTCAGGAGTTAATGTAACTAAGCAGACAATTAGTAATGAACTACACAGGCGGTATAAAATAGCACTCCCCGAGAAAGACACCACTCCTGAAACAGCATAGAGATGCCAGGTTGAAATTTGCGACGGAGCATAAAGATAAGGAAAATTCTTATTGAGAAAGAGTTCTTTGGACAGATGAGAGTAAAATTGAATTGTTCGGTCACAATTTTTTTTTTTTTTTTAAATGCTTAAATGGTAAAAGAAATATTTGTTTATATGTCTTCAATTGCTCACTTTTTTCATTTTTTCTTGTTTAGTAGTTTTTTTTTTTTTTGTTTTTTACTTGGCTTGGTGTATGTAGATATAAAAATAAAACATTTACCTGTATATATCCAAGACCGGGATTTAATTTGGCGTAAATGAAGAGAATACGTTCAACAACTTCCCAATGAGCTTCTTCTCCTTCAGACAACACAGAGTATTCTTCATGGGCTTTTTTACGACTCGACATCATCTGACAATTTAAAAAACAAAAAAATTGCATATCATTCAATTATACATATATATATATATATATCTTACTTATAGTGCTAGTGTTAATAAAATAGTGCTCGATGTAAGACAACAGAGCTATTAAGTATATATTAATAATTATGCATATCTCTTGCTGATAGCACAGCTTGAAGTTTCATGCACAATGCAATCTTCGAGAGCCGAGTATAGACTGATTGTTACGTAATTTAAATTTGAATATCTGATTATCGCAATACTGGTGCAGTTATGTATTATAATGGGATTACAGTTTTTTTAATTTTAAAAAATATATTTGCTATTTAAAATAAATGGGATTTGTATATATATTCATGGATCAGGAGAACTAGGAACATCCTTCCCTTCTTATCTTTTCTTCTGAAGACATTTGTTCAACAATCAACTTTTATTGCTGCTGTTGAAGTTGTTCCAGTTCTTAGCAAAAAAAAAAAAAAAGAACTAAAAAAGAAAAAAAAAGATAAAAAAGAACAAAAAAGATAAAAAAAAGATAAAAAAAAGAAAAAAAGAAAAAAGAAAAAAAAGAAGAAAAAAAGAAAAAAGAAAAAAAAAGAAAAAAGTAGAGAAAAAGAAAAAGAAGAGAAAAAAGAAAAAAAAGAAAAAAGAAAAAGAGAAAAGAGAAAAGAAAAAGAGAAAAAATAAAGAGAAAAGAGAAAAAGAAAGAAAAAGAAAGCAAAAGAGAGAAAAAGAAAGAAAAAGAAAAAGAGAAAAAGAGAGAAAAAGAAAAAAGAAAAAGAAAAAAAGAAAAAAGAAAAAAAAAGAAAAAAGAGAAAAAGAAAAAAGAGAAAAAAGAGAAAAAAGAGAAAAGAAAAAAAAGAAGAAAGAAGAAAAAAAGAAGACAAAAAGAAAAAAAGAAGACAAAAAAAGAAGAAAAAAGAAGAGAAAAAGAAGAGAAAAAAAAAAAAAAAAAAAAAAAACAAAAGAGAAAAAGAAAAAAAAGAAGAAAAAAAGCCCTTTTCATATTTGTTTATAATTTCTTTCTGCACCTTTTATCATGATTCGGGTGATTTTTCTTTTCACCTTGCTTCCACCATTATCTTTCTTTCACACCTACCTGTGGCCTTATTTAAAAAAAAAAAAAAAAGAAAGCATACAAATCAAGAGAAGGCACATAGAATTCGAGCAGGTATGTGTATGGAGCAAAAGCTACACCAAAACTGACACTCTCACTGATACTTGTAGTCTGTAACCCCCCAGATTGTTGGCAGCTTATGTTCACCCAAGATGTTTTTCTTCAGAAAATTTTTCATGAACTGATTTGTTCATGATGAGAGGAGTTTGTGACCCAAGGTTTGTGTGTGTGTGTATATATATATATATATATATATATATATATACAAACAGACAGACAGTCAAACAAAAGGAATGACAGCTATTGCACATAACAGGAGTAGAGGATAGAAGCAAGTAAGCCTGGCTTTTATTTGAATTCAAATAAATGACCAATCATGTAATGAATCGTCATCATTATTCAACCGTAGTCAGGATCATCAAGCCAATGTGAATGATCCTTTTTTTTTAGCTGTATAGTATGTGCTACACCAGGGCTACATACAGTTTTGAATTCAGAGTTACTTTTTCTTAGACCAATTACCACCCAAGGCTATAGAACCCAAGTCTTGCTATTTAACCATAGTTGGGGGGAGAAGATTCATACCTTTCTTCTTCATAAGTGAATGTAATAGATTCAACCGAAATTTGAACTCGACTTTTAAACACACACACACACACACACACACACACATATACATACACAAAAAGAATGACAGCTATTGTCTCATAACAAGTGCACATAACAGGATTAGAGGATAGAAGCAAGTAAGCTTGGCTTTTATTTGAATTCAAATAAATGACCAGTCATGTGATGAGTCGTCATCATTATTCGACCATAGTTGGGATCATCAAGCCAATGTGAATGATCCTTTTTTTTAGCTGCATAGTATGTGCTACATCAGGATTACATACAGTTTTGAATTCACAGTTACTTTCTCCTAGACCAATTACCATCCAAGTTTATAGAACCCAATCTGTCCTGCTATTTAACCATAGTTGGGGGGGGAGAAAAAGAAGATTCATACTTTTTTTAAGGTATGAATCCTCTTCTTCATAAGTGGATCCGACTGATATTTGAACTCAGCTGTCCGATTCCTCAATCCAAGCTGCTATACATTACCCTACCATGCACAAATCACCCCCTCCGCCATGTAACCCAAATGTCTTATTCAGTAATGAGAAAATTCTATTAAATGCATATTTTCAAAACAGTTTCTACAAGGGAGATTACAATTTGAATGAATGTTCAAAGAAACTGACCATAATTGCATTAACAAAGGTTATATTAGAATCAGGGCAATAATAAATAAGTTTAATTACATTTGTTATACCAAGCCAATTTCTGGAAACTGTCTCAGATTGTAGGACACACTGTTCAACACGTTTCCGCAAGGTTTCCACTTTATTGCTAGCATTTACCATTTCTTCACACGGGTATTCAGTTGGTCTTTGAAAGAAAAATAGATCAGGGCACAGTCGTCTGAAAGGACAAGACAATACAAATTAAGAAGGCTCAAGTGGCTGAGACATACAAGTTCCAGAAAGTGGGTATTCAAGCACAGGTAAAAAATCAGGATTTTCAATGATGATTATCCAGACAATTTGAGCCATTCCTATTTGGAGATGACAACAAAACTAACTGCCTTTTCCCATTTCCTTTCTTAAGCTTAACAAATATTTAGTTTAGAAAAGGTGCTGGAAAGATCTTGAAATCTGGTCGGGTATATGCCAGAGTCGACAGGCAGGCACTGACCGGGTTTAGGCCAGAGTCGACAGGCAGGCGCTGGCCGGGTTTAGGCCAGAGTCGACAGGCAGGCGCTGGCCGGGTTTAGGCCACAGTCAATAGCAAACATTGTTCAGCCATATGGTAAGTTAACCCTTTATGGTGGGGAATGTTACCCTCTCAACAAGGGATGAGGTAAGCATATTCTTAGCCCAACCAAAATCTGACTATCGAACCAAACATCAGAATTCTTTTTCAGTATCTCTTCTCATTTGGGCTGAAGACTTTTCAGAAAATTCTAACAGCAAATGAAATAAACGACACAAAGGAGCAACAATATTATTTTTTAGATCCTTACTAGTGAATAAGAGAGGAGTTTTCAGTGTGTACCTCACTGTCTCATGTAAAAAAATGGGCTAAATTTTGGAAATAACTGTAAAGGTCTATATCCCAAGATAAGGCTTCATACTGTGGAGGCAGAGTAAGTTTATCAAGCAGATAATTACTATTGAGTAGTGTGTTTGATCCTCACAGGGTGGACCATAATTGTGGCCTAGTGAGAATATTCAGATAATTACCTAAACAATATATTCTCATGAACAGCTATATATACAACAGATTCAAAATTTAACAGCTAATATCATGAGTTTTATCTTTTCAGTAGTTCTACAATAAAATCAATTTCTCTCTTCATCTATAGCAAAAGTCAGTCAACCTCTGGTTTTTTCACTCTGGGCCTCACTGAAGTGCTGACAGACTCTAGGGATTGAACTTGTCACCTTTCAATTTACAGTCCAAGATTTTCCCATCTGATGACAAGAAGTGTATTAATTATTACACATTCATTTCTCCAAGAAAAATCCCATAAAAGTGGTCACATTCTGACTTTTTTTATGACACACAACTGTCATCTAAAATTCGTCTTTAATGAGTGATATTTTCATCTTGATTTTGGTTGCTTTTCAGCACAACTACTCAAACAGACATGGCCATCAATAAATGGTGTGTGTGTGTGTTTCAAGGAATGAAGACAAAGTTTGAGGTTAGATTGTCACTTGTATTGCCCTTATGCCACAGGAAATTTGGTCATGTATGACAGTTCTGATAAACCAGTTTCATGATTGAAAAATACAAAAATTAAAAAAAAAAAAATCCAAGCACAATTTACACAATCAACAGAGTTTAAGTCAATATGGTTAAATTTGATCATTTGCCAACCATAAAGACACTCATAGCCAAAAGAATATTGGCTTTATTGACAAAGTAGACTATATCAAAATGGTCATAAAATTGAGTCTGAAAACAAAATGAATAATGCTTGACAATGCTTCATCTAATGAAAATGGCACAGTATATTACTACTACTAATACTACTAGTGGAAAGAAAGTAATTGAAATGAAGATGAAAGAAATCCTAGTTGAAAATGAAGAATGCTTGACAATGCTTCATTCTAATCAAAATAAGAAAAAATATAAATGAATGTTATCATTCTAGAAAAGAGATTTGAAACTTATTTCAATTATGGGATACAGTCATATCATTAAATGGTTATTTCCTTTCAGAATATAATTTTTTTTAAATTTGCATAAATTCAGTAAATGAAATTCACATTATGGGAAATCCTACAGCTTATTAAGAATTTAAAATATTTGTCGTAATTGATAGCAAATACAAAAAATTAAAATTTCAATCAATCAAGTACATGAATTATGCACAATCACACATCACATCTTATCTATATTTTTGCCTTTTGCAATTTCAGTTTCTCCACAGTGAACCCGAGAAATATGGATTTTGCAAGTTTTTATGTTTCTTCCAAAGCTCAAAAGATATCAGCAATTTTGATCTGCCAAAAAAGACACTGTAAAGTGTCTTCCACTAAATGAAAAGGTGGAAGTGTTTGGCTTAATGAAGGAAGAAAAACAAAATTGTCCCCTTCAGTTGCTATGATCTGCATAACAACAAATCTGGTAGTTACATAATGTTTAGGAGAGTTATGCTTTTATTGTGCATAATCCATAGATTGTTATTAGTGTTAATCTATAGATCATATTATTAGTGTTAAATCTCTTATTGTGCAGATTTTTATTATTATTATATTTATTGATGTGTTAATCTCTTAGTTTGCATAATGTATATATTAAGAATATACATATGTATAAAAAAAAGATCAGTTTAAGTAGTGTCCATGATCTTGGAGTTTTAGAGCACATCCACCGTGGATGGGAGAGAGTACAGTACACATAGTTTGGCACTATTTACAGTTTTAATCAACTACTGACGGATCTGGGAACACATCTGTTATGGATAAGGTAGTGTTTACTCTGTACTGAGTTCAGTAATATCTATTTTTCAGGTATCTACTTGGGGTTGCAAAACATACCTGCCATGGGTAAGACAAAGGGAAATTACTGTGCTTACATATTAAGCACATTCCATAGCTTCAAGCATCAACTTTGGGTCTTAGAACAGATGTCATGAATAGGGAGGGCGCGATATATAGGGTCATGGTGGATGAAAACATATTGGAACTGAGTTCAATCCTTCGATCTGGTAGTGTTGAAAAGTCACACTCTCTGATTTAATGGAGGAAATGAACAAGCAGCAAAAAAAGGAAATAAAAAGACTGGGGAGTAATAACCAATATAAAATATCCTGAAAGCATAAAAAGCGGAATGAGAACAATATATCCCAGTTGATTGAATAAAGGGCTTGTTTCAAGTTTCAGAGAAAGTTATCGAAGAGGGATATACAAAATTCAATGATTGAAAAAATAAAAAAATAAAAAATTTACTAAATAATTCAAAGATCAGGGTTCAAAAAATGGAAATGTGATCTGGTACTCAAAACTAGAAATTTATCACAAACAAGACTGTTCTTTTGGTATCTGATATTAAAATAGTAACATTCAAACCAAAGCCTCACAACTTCAGTATGTAGGGGAACAAGCAGTAAAAAGGCCATTAACTAAGTAAGCTTCCACGCATTACTACTCGAGGCAAACGTATGTAAACAAAACTGGTAATGGCAGTTGGACAACATGAAAGAGACAGAACTTACATTTTGAATAAATCCTAAACGGTAATAGAGTGAAAATTTTTAATGTCATTTTTTAAATAATCAGGCAATTTCACACCATAATAAAACATTTTCATTACCGTGACTATAATGCAAATTAACCAAAAAAAGAAAACTGGTTTGTCAATTTTCTGAGAATATGTTGGCTAGTCTATTTTTAAATATTTTAAAACTTTTCTAAGAAACTCTATTTAGCAAACAAAGTGAAAGTTGGAAGGTCACGGCTCAGTCGTGGTGACCAAGATCCATTGCTAAAGTGGGTATTTACTCAACTTCCCCACGAGGCAGGATGTGGCACAAGGCCAATTTTATGTGGGGCATTTTCTTTATATGTAATAAAAATTCAAATTATGTTTTTGTTTTCAGCTTTAATATGAATTATAGTATAATGTATTGTAATTTTCTCATAAAATACTATAAAAAAAATGAAATTTCCCTAAAGTAAAAATGGACTTTACCAAAAAGTGGAAATGGAATCAAGGAAAATTTGTAATGGAAAATCAGGGGCCCTAACACTGGAATTAAAAAGTGAGTCAACAAAGGAAAAGAAATCCACCAACTTACCTGCAATCTTTGTCAATCTGTACCAACATTTCATTATCTTTAAAATAGGCACCCCACTCACTGTCTGGGTTGGGATTTAGAGGCTTAAGATGGGGGAAAAAAAAAAAAAAAAAAGAAACAAGTCACAAATAGACAACATGCCAAAGGGAGACAACTTTTTAACTTTTTGGAATAGTCACGTTTTGCTTACAGTTATGTCAGGTCTTTATTTGATGTTGTCGATAGGTTCTTATGAAGTGAAATATGAAATGACCCTAAGATTTGTATAATAATTCATACATTCATCATCACAAAAACATCATGTCCATTCTACTGCTTTTATGCAGAGTTAATTTTGTAGCAGCTAAATTCATTCAACTTTGAGGTTATTTTTTTTTTATCATTACTGCAAATTCTTTGTGGTCTCCAATCTCTATTGAAGATGCCTGCTCAGGCACAACTGTGTTTCTTCAAAACCTACAAAGTGCAGTACAAGATTGGCAACAAGATCTCATCAGTTTAGAGTTGAAATGGATAAATGCAACTGTAAGTTCTATTCTAAGAGTTTCTTCCTTTGCACTTCTTGATTGTGTTGCTCCCCTCCAATTTCTTGTTTTCCAGTCAACTTTCATTGATTTCTACAGATTATCAACACTTGGCAGGTTATTTAAAACCAGAAAATATACAAATCTTCCTAATTAACCCATAGCTTGGGAGAGAAGAGGTGGATTCATACCTAATCAGAATTTGATAAGCAAACAGGAAATTATAATCTGGATATAAAGTGGGAGATCAATTCTACATTAAAGTCAATATATAAACTGATTCCTCACTTTGTGGCCAGAGTAATTTCTATATATTTATATTTCAAAGAATGTAAATAAATCTAAAAGACATGCATGTGTAGCTGATCAGTATTTCATTGACTGCTTGATTGATTCGTTTTCTACGGCTTATCAACAAGGAAGAAATTATAACGTGAATATAAAGTGGGGGTACAATTCTACATTACACTCAATATGTAAAGTGATCCTCACTTTGTGGCCACGGTAGTTTCTATTCATTTATATTCCAGAGAATGTAAATAAATCTAAGACATGCCTGTGTAGCTAATCAGTATCTCATTGACTGATGGATTGATTCGTTTTCTACAGCTTATCAAAAACCAAGAAATTATAATGTGGATATAAATTGGGGGATCAATTCTACATTACAATCAATATATAAACTGATCCCTGACTTTGTGACCATAGTAATTTCTATACATTTATATTCCAGAGAATGTAAATAAATCTAAAAGACATGCTTCTGTAGCTAATCAATATTTCATTGATTAATTGATTTGTTTTCTATGGGCTAACACTTTGCAGGTTATTTAAAAAATAAAAATGCTTTTAGTGATACAAATCTCATTTATTAATCCATAGCTGGAGAGAGATAGGTAGATTCATATCTTTCCCGAGAGTATTTGCACATACATGAATATAATGAACCCAACAAGAATTGGAACTCAGCTCTCTGATTAACAAGTCCAAGCCATTATCCATTACACTACCTGCATGTCTAAGATTACAGAACCTGGTATTACCAAGTGGTCATCCATCTCAGTAATGGCCAGGCTTGATTGTTGCTTAACTTCGGTGATAATATGGGAACTAATGCTTTAACATGATGTGGCCATAAGCCCAGTCAATTTTGATCTTCAAATATTTAAATGCAATGTCTATCATAATCTGATGTCTTTTTAATTCCTGTACTTTTATTGTTCCCTTGTCTTAATAATATTTTTCTTTTTCTCATATTCTCAATTTCTCAGTAACCCATGCATCTTAGAGGCTTTATTGCCTTGTTTGGAATGGTGAAATAAAAAAAAAAAAAAAAAAAGTGAAAGTAATAAACCCAACTGGAATTCAAACTCAGCTCTCAGATTTCTTATGAGCTGCTATCCATCTCAAATCACATCACACCACCCCATGCACAAAAGCCTATTGACAACATGAAACAAAGACTGGCTGTAACCATAAACAAAACATTTGTTATTTTGTCTAACAGAAATTCAGATAAGACAGTAAAGAAATCAAAACCAAATAACTTTTCACAAAATCAGATTTAATCTTTTGGTGAACAAGTTGAAACATATTAACCAGTGTTTTGTTTTGCAGGAAATTTAAAACGAATGCAGTTGGTTTTCACTTTTTGTGGTTTTGTTATCACGTTGATGAGAAAAATAAAAATAAAATTTGTCAACTGTATTGACGGTTGATTTTTTTTTTTTACAGCTTACCAGCTTTTGAACTTTTTTTTTTTTTTTAACCAAAAAATATTTTTGCATTGTAAAAATCTTTTGCAGATAATGATTTTCTGATACCAGTCCTAGTATTTAACCCACAAATGGGGGGAAGAAGAGGTAGAATCATACTTTTCCCAAGAGTATTTGCATGTAAATGAATCTAACAATCCACTGGAATTCAAACTCTGTATTCCAATCCCAAGCTGTTATCCACTACCCACACATCCAAGTTTACAGCATCTGATATTCCCAAGTGGTTGCCTATTTAATTATAGACCATGTTTGATGTTGCTTAACAACAGTGATCACACAAGAACCAGTGTTTCAGCATGATATGGTCATAAGCCATAGATAGACTCTAATCATATAAACACAAGAGAAGAAACAATGCTATTCAAAATCATTTAGTGAAGCTTCAGTTCCTGACATGTGCGCGTCTGTGAACCAATGTCGCTATGTTGGTTCTTATAGACCATACAGTGTTTGTTATTGTTTTCATTTAATCTTATTGGGGATGTGCAGGTGGATAGCAGCTTGAAATTAGAAATCAGTGGGTTGAGTTGGCAAACTGTCTAAGAACAACTTGAAATTCAACACTCGGATAATGAAATCCTCATGAAAACACACAAAGGTTAGTTGGTTATTTTGCAGCATATCAACCTCTATGGGTTATTTAATACTGAAATCTAAATATTTTGTACACAATTTTATTTTTTGGAGATAATGGTTTTAGCAATACAAGTTTTGTGGAGAATTGGTGGAGTTTCCAAAGAGTATTTGCCCGTAAATGAATATAATGAATTCAAATGGAATTAGAACTCGTCTCTCCGATTAACAATTCTGAGCCATCATCTGTTATGACATCCACACATCCAAGCTTACAGAATCCAGTGTTACCAAGTGGTCACCTATCTTGGTTCTGACCAGGCTCAAGGTTTCTTAACTAGGGTAATCATACAGGAACCGCTGTTTCAATCTGATATGGCCATAAACCCCCACAAAGATGTGGGTGTGAAATACTAAGCAGCAGAGAAAACAAAACTGGCAAATCAAATTCCAATTCTGGCTGAGGCTGTCTACACTCACTAATGAACATAGAAAA